TGCACTACATTCTAAATTACTAACAATCCTCCACTAGTTTAGAATATTGGTGCTTAATCTTTAACTTTCCACACAAACAACTATTATGAATACAAGAAGATATCTCTTATTAACATTTCAATTAAGGTATATATCTTAGAATTCTAATAAAGTTGGTGGTGTTCATAGATTAAACCTCGACTTTTAGTGTTAAAATTGAAGATATAACACACATAATACTAATTTATTCTTCTATCAGAGGTTTATAATCGCTTTGGCACTATTATGACCATGTGCTTATCCTATTCGTAAATATTTATAAGAGAGATCTCAATTTTTCTTGTTGAAGCGGCATCACTTCTATGTTTATATAGGTAAAGTTTCCATTATGTCTCCATTGCTTTAGACATTTAAAACTCCATTAAGAGTATAAAAACTCATCATTCTCACACAATGGATCATACTAATTTTTAAAATTTGAATGGATTTTATTAGTGCTTATCAGACACATAACAATAACTTGTTTTTACCCATTAAACTTTGTAATTAGAGGTTACAATTTAGAGTTAGGTTCTCATTATTGGTGTCTAGTAGTAAGGGTTTAAATCCATTCTACTTATAGTCCTATTAACCAAATATCTTGGAATTTAATTTGCTTTTGTGGTAAGTACTTCCGACTGAATCTGTAAAATAATTATTGCAGGCTAATATATCCAAAATTTTTATTTTGCATATCATTTGTATACTCAAGACATTGTTGTCTCATTCTTGTCATTTTAAGAAATAGTTGATTTTGGTTGTGGCCACAACTTTATATTCATAACTTTCAACCATTCTATTTTCATGCTTGTATATATCTTTGATATAATTATACTTATAGTACAATTGGACATAAATCAAACCATTTTAGTCCCTTTAAGACTTTTAATGACCTTTTTATGATTTTACTTTAATAAGTTTACTAAACTTATTAGCTTGTATAATTTGTTCATAAAATTATACTAAAATTTTACAACAATAAGGTGGCATTTATTTATTTATTTATTTATTATTCTTATTATCCTTATCATGTACAAGTATGCATTCTTTTATTAAAAAATGTCTCATTCAATTATCAAGATATTATATATACTTAATCAAGTTGCCATTTCATTTATCTTTTCATTATTTGGTGATTTTTTTTTCTTTTTTTTTTTTTAAGTAAGAGACCTTCAAATTCACCCTTAGTGAAAGATAATTAGCAAATATTCTACATCTTAATATTTCTTTTTCATCAAAAGTTTCAGATCTTTTATATTTTAACTCAAAATAAGAGTTTAAATCAATAAATAGATTTCAAATATAATCATACTTCTATAGGGTCATTTTAAGACTTTTTATGTCAATTCATAAATACTTATATGAATTTATTTCATTATAGATACTATTAATAATTTTTATTACCATGAAAAAAACCATTTCCATCACCTAAATGGATCAAATAGCATTTCTTTTGCTATTATAAAAGTTTTCATATTCATAAGATCTTAAAATGACTTATGACTTCCAAAGTAAATATACTTTAAAATTTTCATTATATTTCAAAACCTTTAATAAATCATAGATGATAAATCATTGTACAATTCATGAGTTAGACCATATAAATAACAAAAAGTTACCATAACATGATCAAGATTGTGGCATTAATTTTGGCTTATGGCTATTCTAAGCCAACCATAATAATTCACATCATACCTACAAATCATGTAGATTTGGCTATTGAAATTATCTCATTTATGGTGATGGCTTTCAATGAAAACCAATTATTTCAAATGTTATCATGAGTTTCTAATGCATATATTAATTGCCCAATAGCCAATTTCAAGTTAATGACTATTGAAACTTCTAAACTTGATTTTAGAATTTTATAAGAACTTTATTTCTCCATCATTGTGCAGGCTAAGTATATATCTATATTATTTACCACTTTTAATTATTCATAACATTTTCAAAAATATAATAAATTCAAACTTTACTAATAGGACTAATATGCCTATGTACAATAAGAGTCTATAGTATATTTAACTCTAATTTCAAATACTTTTACAATTATTTTGTAATAATATGTTCATATCTAGATCACCATCTCAACACAAGTCATGAAATATGAATCCAAAGACTCATTTCATAAAATAGCATAAACAATAATTATATTATGAGTTCTACTCATATTTCATGCAAAAACTCGTGATTAATTTGCATTGGTATTAAATCATTGATCGGCTAACTTTAAGGCTTACGATTTTCATAAGCCAATATTATTACTTAAGCTTATATGTTAATATAGTGTGTAGCCAGCCACATCTTTATCATTGTCATAAAACTATTGAAAACCATGAAAACTTATGCACTTTTCATTTTAACAGCTTGCAGAAAGCCATTTTTTCAAGTATAAGAAGCAAAAATGTCTTCATTGTCTTTAATCAATAATGTATTAATTTGATGATTGCATTCTATCTCTATAGTCCATATCTTTCTTATATGCATAAAAAGGAAATTTGCATCCCATTCATTTCATTTTCGTAATATATGGCAAACTGTACCAAAATTCTCTATGCCGTCACAAAATGGAATTAAACACATGCATGTACTGGTGCCTTTAAAACATTAAATTTACATGTTCTTTTCTAATTTATAAACATAGCTAATTAGACATTGATGAGCATCTTTCAAAATGCCAGTAACTGACAAATACTTCAATATTTTCAATGACATGCCTTTTCTTTTAATCAATCATCTAATTAGCTCAAATTGTTGGTCAAATTTTAGTTAGTGACACTAACATAAAATTTACAAAACATAAGGATGCCATAGATATACATACTTAATGTATTCTACATTACCACTAGCTATAGTTCTTTGTGAAATTATATACTCATTCCACATAATAAACTTGCCTTAACTTATTACATTATAAATTCAAACAATTTATAAATGCTATCATCAATGAGAATAATATTTTAGAACCCAGACCTTTTTATAAACCTCATAGTTATAATAGTTTGATATTTTCTTTTTAAACAAGCATCTCTTTAATCTTCAACCTTTTATAAGCTAATTTCATCAATCATAGTTATATAGCATCCTAGTTATATAGTAAGAACATTTATATTCCAAATTTTTTGTTTGTCTTACTTGTTTTAACCATTAAACACAAATTGAGTTGTATCTTAAACCTTTTTTTTATGATTCATACAACTTAATTTTATAGACTACTGTATTGTCCAACTGTGGGTATAAAATTATTGTTTTGTGTTTATCTTTGAGACTTTTTAATTTTTTTTTGTTTTAAATTTCTAATTTCTTTCCCAGTGATATAGAATCATAGATTACATACCTGGTTTATGTAGCAATAAACTTTTGTTTCCTTGTCTTGCAAAGAAAGATGAACAACAGAAGGCTTAAGTTGATGAAAAATTCATTTCCATGCCACATCTAATGCTATATTCAAGCCACGCCTCTCAACTTGATTAAATTCCGATGATAAATCATAATTCCATCTTTTGCTTTTATCAACAGCCTTTAATCAAAATTTCTTATAAACTTGTGAAAGTAAACCTTAAGATTGTTAGAACTTAGGGTTTAGAAAAATCATGAGAAATTGAAGAAAGGCTTCAAGGTGTGTAATGGTGCCACTTTCATTAAGGTTTTATTTGCCCTTACCACTTGATTAATTGGTATGTAAAAGAGTTACTAGCGATAAATTTTGAAGATACAATGAAGGTAATTGACAAAGTATAACAAGGCTATAAAAGATTCATAACCAAAGTTAATAAGTACTCCATTTCTGTTTTATGCTCAAGATTGTTCAATGCTATGATTACAAAAATTCACATATAACATATCATTAAATAATAAATCATAAATTAAATAATTTAATTAAGAATCCAAAGATTAAAAGAATAGAAAGCAAAATTCAATGAAACTTAAGGTTTTTTATGAATTATTAATCATCACCTGTTCTAGTAAAATATAAAAACTCAAAAGATAATAACAAGAAACTTATTTTGTATTTTATTTCACGAAAAAACTATTTGGATAATTGAAGCTTTCCATGCTTATTTCAAATGTAAATTTTGCCAATTTTGTTAATTTTTTTCGTGTATTTTTTTCATGCGAAATATTAATTACATAATTACCTTTAAATTGTTATAAAAAATAAATAAAAAATAATTTTAATTTTGAGGCATGAAGAATATTTTTTAAAAAGTAATTGTACTTTTAGAATACAATATAATTTCAAAACTCTTTAAGTAGAAGTAATAAAAATAGTTATATTAAAATATTTATTTATAATAAATAAATTGACATAAATTTTTATTTAAATGATTATTATCTTTTTATATTCAAATAGTTATGAGTATTTATTATATAATAATTATTTTTATTCAAATATAATTATTTAAAATATGAATAAAATTAATATAAAAATAATTTTATTAATCAATAATTAAATTTTTTTATTCAATGTAAATTGCATCCATTCTAAACTACTAACGTTGCCACTAATGATTTTAGCATGGCATAATTAACTTATATATAACTAAATTAAGCTTGGTTGATTTTTTTAAATCTTTGTCCAATATCTACTCAATTCGTCAAGTGAAAAGAATTAAAAATTTTAAAAATATTAAAAAGTAAATTTTAATATTTTATATTTTTAAATATATTTTAAAATTACAATTAAATAAAAACATTTTTGTTAATTAAACAATATGTCGAATGGAACTGATCTTTAACTCAAAGTTTGAAAAGGCTTGTCCACTCGAGTCAGCAGGCACCGGCAGGCCGCCAAACCTTTAGACAGTTTATATGAATTACAATAAATTATCTTAATTATTTTAATAAAATATATAATTTTTTATTAAAAATATATTAGGGCTTTAGGGAAGCCGTATGACTTTCCCTCCCTTTTGGATTTTGCCGCCTCTTTTCTTTTGTTTTTGTCAATTAATATTAAATGTAGAAGGTAAAGAGTAAATGTTATATTTTTGGGGCTTAAACAGCATTTAAGAAAATTGATTGAAAATTGAGAGGCAGAGCGGCGGAGACGCTTCGGACTTCTCATTTTCCCTTGTAACTTGCAACTTACAACTGCAATATAAAGGGTTTATCATCTTTTACTTGCAGCTAAGCTTCAATGGCTTTCTGGGGTCGGTTTCTTTCTCACTCTTATTATTATTTTGTTTTGCAGTCTGAAAAAGAAGTTTTCTTTTCTTTTCTTTTTTTCCTTTTAAAAAGAAAATTGGTTAATATTTTGCAGGAACCGAAGTGAAGCCTGGAAGACCATTCAGTCATGCACCTCTCAACGGAAGGCTTCATCTTTCCCAGGTAATATTTATAAATTTCCCTATTTTCTTTGTTGGGTTATTAATGGTTAATTTTCATCATCTGTTGGCGAAATCAAAATGCTAAAGAGATACGTATATGTAAATATATTTGTCAGGCAACACTAGGAATGGGTAATGGAGCACAGAAAAGCATAGTTCAATGTAATGTGGGAAATAAGAGGCCAGTGTTTGTATGCAGTTTGCTTCCTGAAAAGGCCGAGTGTTGTCAAGTCAATTTGGAATTTGAAGAATCTGATGAAGTTGTGTTTTCTGTTATTGGCCCTCGAACTGTTCATCTTTCTGGTTTCTATCTGCCCACTTCCTCCCATAATGGTCATAATGATGAATCGTATCCTTCTTTTAAGTTTCCAATTTGCTTCAAATTATTGTTTTTTTTTTCCTACTTTTTCCATTGACTAGGCTGCTCAGAGAATCATATGGAGAAGATATTGCAGAGACAGAAACAGAAAGAACAAAGAATAGCGAAGAAAGTGAGTATGGCGGCAGTTTTATCGATGATGATGATCCACAAGTCTTGCCATCTTCTCCAGACTCTTATGCTCAACCAGGATGTAATCTCACCTCATCTCCCTTTAACGCTAATCATTTTCTTCTCGTTTTTCAATCTAGTTTTATTATTGTAAATAGTGTGCACAAAATCATCTTGCATATGAAAACTTGTTTTGGTGACGTACTGATGTCATTTAATTACATGTCCAAATCTGTATATTATGAGGTTAGCTGTTGGTTTTGAAGTAACAAGCCTTTTTGTTTTCCATGATTATGTTCTTTATTTGAAGTTTTGTTTAAATATGCATTTGTAGGTCTTTTCTAATTTAAGTCCTTTTTTTGGTTCTTACTTCAGCAAATGAAGAAATGTTGGACTTAAAGAAATCTAAGAATGGCAAAGGAAGGTGTCGGCTTAGGAAAAAATTCCAGTTTAATGAATCTGAAAATGATGACAGTTTTCAGCAAAAAGATTTCACCGGAGCTGTTGCTGCCATGGAAGTATTGGACAGTGAAACTGAAGATGCATTGCCTATTTCCTCTCTCTGTAAGGCAAAACAAGCATCAAATAGTAGAAAGGCAGATATGGAGGAAAAACCTGGGAAGGAAACAGAAAAGCTTAACCACAATGAGACTAAAGATGAAGCTACCATGTTAGAAGGGAGTAATGCTGCAATAGGTGTTCAGCCCAAAAGGTAGGATTGCTGTTCGACTTGAAAGAAACATAGAAGCCTGTCAAACAATAAAGAAACACAACGCAATTGCTAAACTAACTTAACTTATGGTTGTTTGCTTCATTAATCATTTCTGGCTTAGGCTTGATTGGGTTTGACTTTAATCAATTCTTACTGGCTTACAGTGAATCAAGTGCTAGGAATGAAGAAAAACAAAAGCATGTGCTTGGTGTTGATAATGCTTTAATGCCAAAGAAGAAAAGACAAGAGCTGACAGAGGAGGAAAGATTTCCTGAAGCTGATCATGGCATGATTGGAAACATGGAGTTGGAGCAAAATGACCAAAATCAGAAGCTGGCTAGTAATGAGTGCGTGATATTATTACTTTAAAGAATTGTGTTCAATGAAATTTGTACTTCCATGCTTGTCGACTTGGTTCCTTTGCAAGCAATTGTTCTTGTTTGTAATAACTGCTATCTGATATGTTACTGCAGGGAAAATAAGCACAATGATCTCTTGCTGGCTTCCAGTCAGGTGGGTCTTGAAGATAAAGCAAAGCTAAAGAGGAAAAGGAAAGAACATGCAAAAGAGAAAATGCTCAAAGACAATGCTGCCAAAGAGGATGAAGGTCAGAAGGGTGATTTGAATTTGGATTCTGGAATTAAGGATGTACATGTAGAGGATAAGGAAACTCAAAAGGAAGTTAATGATAAGTAAGTGTTCATCATTTAACTTACTGACTTCTGAATGGCCATATCTACAATTGCATTCTTTTTATTCATTTTCTATCCAATTTACATCTCATGGGTGCGTGAGTTGAATTGGCCCCCACATGACATTGTTTTCTAGTTCTAATCTGCAATTGCAAATGTTTTGCATTTGCTAATAATTTTTCTTTCTTATACCAATCTAGTAGGAAAAAGAAGAAAAGGTGTAAGAATAAGGAGGATGGGGATGCTATGAAGATGGAACCACCTGTCTTATCAGCCCACGAAAAGAATAGATCTGTGGCAATGGAAGGCAACGATGCTAATGACAAGGCAATTCAGCTGTCGAATGGAATCATCATTGAGGAGTTAGAAATGGGGAAACCAGAAGGCAAAATAGCTACTCTTGGTAAAAAGGCATGTAGTCTTGATTTTTGCTGTCCGTTTTGTAATAACATTTAGAAATTTATTGGTGGGAATTTCATTTGAGCTAAATAGATACGCACTCACATATTCTTTCAATGAAGAAAACTTTTCTTGTAAGTTCTGCCAGGCTAAACTGAAGGAAATTATTTACAAAGTTCTCTTTATGTCAGGTTCATGTCCATTACACTGGAAAGTTGAAGGAGAGTGGGCAAGTATTTGATTCAAGTGCTGGCAAAGCTCTTTTCAAGTTTCATCTAGGTAGCATCTTTTGTTAAATCATGCTTTGCAAATACTATAGTGTGTGTGGTCAGTGTTTAATTCAAAGAAGTTTTGTTTATTCAATTAATTATCATATGACATTGTTCTATAAGAACAAATGACATTCTACTTTATAGGGAGACTGGTTATTAGAGACAGTGGGCAAGTATTTGTTTTAAATGTTGTTCTTTGCCAATACATGCATTTGATTTTTAAACTTTTATGTTAGACTTTTAAATGTGTTGCTTTTATAGGAGGGGAAAAAGTTCCAGAGCTATGGAATGTTGGCCTTGATGGTATGAAATTTTCTTTTGTTTTTTGAAGTTTTGTTTTTTCATTAACAAAAATGTTAATTGTCCTAGATGGAATTATGTTTCTTATGAATATAATTCATCAATATTCCTAGGCATGCGAGTTGGTGGCAGACGCAGACTCATTGTTCCACCATCAGTGAGGTATGCAATTCAATTATGGTAAATAGAGCTTGAAGCTCATTTCTCAAATTTTCTAGGCCGAGTCCAGCTCCTCTGATCCTTCCATGATGTATCCTGGGTTTGCTTTGCAGCTATAGAAATGAAGGAGCTCGTGAGAATGTTCCACCCAATTCCTGGCTGGTTTTTGATGTTGAATTGGTTAAAGTTAGGTGATTGGGTGGCAGCACCACTTTTGTTTAGGCCTTGCTAAAGCTATATTAATTCTTCTAACAAATAGAAGATTTCAGAAATGATCTTTTAGATATACTTGCAACTGAGAGTTTCAGTTGTGGACTTGGCATTTTTACAATGTTTGTTGCTTGGAAAGGTTTGAAGTGAAAATATGAAGCATTGGATTTATGCAGTAATTAAAAATTGTTTTTGTTTTCCATGCTGAAAAAGTTTGTATTTGTTCATACTTTTTAATGTCAAATGAAGCAAATATTTCAGCAGGATTTTTTTCCTGGGGAATTAACCAAACAAAAATGGAAGCAGAGAAATTGAACGTTGATGATATTTTGGCTGAAAAAAATATGCCTGGTGAATGTGGCAAATTTCGTTCATATTTCATTTAAATTCTAATGGAGCACTGAGGGATAGATAGATTAGATAGATTTAAGGCAAATTAAAAAAAAAACGGACATTATGAAAAGGTGGTAGTGGATCAGAAGAATGGTGAAGAATTGCTGTTGCCCAAATGATCCAATGCAAAGGCCAAAGGCAAACATCAATATCCACATTTAACCAAATTTATAAACTTAAAACAACAACGAATTTCATATAAAACAGTAAAAGTGAGAATATATATATATATATATGTATCACATGCTTTCTTAGTGTCATATATATATATATATATCTATACATTTTTTAATCTTTAATTTTAATAAATTTGAAGGATTTGATTAAATTATTTTTTATTTTTAAATTTATTAAAATCAATTATTAAAAAAATATGTAAAATTAAAAAACTTTTATACTGTATAAATTGATTTATTCTTTTATATATATATATATATATATGATTGAACAAAGAAAGTCCTCCACTATTTAGGGAATGAGAGAACTCTTTCCAGCCGCGGGGACAAGCTTGGAAAATCTCCTTTTCAACTTCTCAGATTTGTCCTCCCTCGGTGTTTCCCTAATTGTAAGAGACCTTGTAATATTAATTAATACTTATCACATAAAAAATATTGAATTTGAGCTTTGAAAAAATTATTTAAATGCATATTAAAAATTTTACTAGGTCTTTAGCTGTGAAAATGGTTAAGATTTTCACAAACTCTCTCTCCAACCCTTTTGTTGTAATGGATATAGATTGATCATAGTACACATTAATATTCCGATTATAATAATCATCCCTCATATACTCTGCTTCAACTTTCTTTTGATTCCCATCCTTGATGGCATTCAAATTTCCAAACAATTTTGTTGGCAAATACCCATTGAAGTCATTGTCAGAGAGATCGATAATTCGCAAATGAGACAAGGAAAATGTAGCATCGAAATCATCTATGCGACCATAGAATCTGTTACATCTCAAGATAAGGACTTGTAGTTCCAAATTTCCTAACCAATTCGGAAAGGTGTCATGTAACCTGTTGTTCCTTGAATCTACTAGTTTCAAATCCTTGTAATTAAGCAAAGACGGAGGAACTGACCCTTCCAGTTGGTTTTTGTTGATGTTAAAACTTCTTCCCAAGCAACCTTCAGGAAAATGCCCAGGTGTTGCGCCATGAAACTTGTGAGCTTAAGTTTCCTAGGCATTGTGGAATATTTTGGGCAGGCTTATCCGTCAAGCCTTAAAAGTCCGGTCAAATTTTAAAGGGATTTAAAAAATTTTAAAATTTATTAAATATATTTAAACATAATTTTTAAATTTATTTAAATTTTGAGCTGCTTTAAATAAAAAAATTAAAATTTAAGTTCAGTCCAAATAAAATATATAATTAAAATATTATAATTATAAAAATATATAATATATGTAAAATTTTATTTTTTAAAAGAAAAAGTTTTTTTGTATATTTTTAAAATTTTTATTATATAAATAAGTTTAATAAATAGATTAGAAATTTATTTTTTAACTTTAATTGAGTTAAAAAAAATTTGAGATTCAAAATAATAAGATAGATTGAACTAAATTTGAATAAATATATAAATCATTAATATTAAGTATGGGTTCAATTTGAGCCTTGTTCAACCTAACACATTAACATTTTTATTTGTGATATATCTAAAATTAAAAATTTTCAAAAACTGAATTAATTCGATCTTAATTGATATTTTAAAATTTTTGTCTAAAACTTTATCGGTCCATAAAAATTTATTTTGAATGATTTAATTTAAAATTAACTTTAAAATATTAAAAAAATTATGTATTAATACAGTACATGTTTTTAAATATAGCAATATTATTGAATATATTTTGAGAATTAAAATTAATAAAAAATATATTTATTAAAATATTCCCACAATTCTGATAGGGCCTAAACTTAAAAATTCTTGTCCGAAATCCACCCTAGATGTCTACCTAGAAAAGGAAATGTTTAATTTATAAGATGCAAAATTTTAAGGATTATTATTTTATATATTAACTTTGAAATTCTTCCTCAACGCAAGAGGTTCAAAATGCCATGTCACATGTCCTTTTAATTATTAGTATTATTATATTAATTTATTAATTATTGTAAGTATAATTTAAGAAGATATGCGTCAATTCCTTTGGTTCACGATGGTATAATTTCATTAATATTTAATAAAAAAATGAATAAATATAATATTATGAATATAAAAATAAATGTATATATGATTTTAAATTTTTATCGAATATAAAAATAAAAATAGATAATATAACATTTGTCTTGTCTTCGTCTCGTACATATATATTTATATATATAGCATATAGGTTTTTTTATTAAATAATATAAATTATTATTTTAAATTAATTAAAATTAATATATTTTTATTAAAAATATATATTAATATATATTATAAAAATTATTTAAATATATAGGATAAAAATAAAAAAAGCTAATTTTTTAATTTTTAGTTTTTTTTTTAATTATGAATATGGAGATTATTCATATTCCTTAAATACCAACGGGTAGAGATAAAGATAAATTTAAAATATCTGTTGAATATGAATACGAATATGAATATGAGTATAGATATTAGTATAATATAAAAATCCGAAGATGAGATGAGAAATGCTCTATCTTGCTTATATCCTACTCATTGATATTCCCATATGAGAAAATTTTACTTATAATCATTATAGTATAATTAATAAATTATAATTAAAATTGTGTGACACTCATTAAAATTTTATGTAAAATATATATTTATAAGTGATGAATTTTTACATAATTTTTTTATTATGATTAGATGATTATAAAAAAATTAAAAAAAATTATAACCTCACTTGTAAAGTATACAAAAAATTACCCTAAATGTATAGGACAATAATTAAAAGTTTTTTTACTTAGAGTTTTTAAATAGAGTAAATGTAACGAAATTTTTTGGGCACAAATTCTTCCTCATATATTATATATTACGCCATGAAATATTATGCCACTTTGATACAAGCATTTCACACCTATCAAAGTATTCTTAAAGAAATTTATTTCATTTTTGCAATTAACCTTGTGACTGTAATTTCTTTTTAAAAAATCATTTCATATTATATGTGCTACCCTAAAATCTATTGTCCAACATGTTGAATGTTGAAATGATGAATTAATAAGCAAGTAGAGGAAAAATGATACGTTCAATCACCGCTCTCTTTTGTCATATTTTCAATTAATTAGGAACTAATTACAATAATCTTAATTAATTTTCATTTTTTAATTGGTTTTATATTATGTAATAGAAAGAGCGTAAATGCATGTCATTGCTCTAATACATTAAACAATTGCATATAATGCATAAATAAATAATATTCAAGTATTTAATTGAAAGGGCTATATGCACTTATAATAAATAAAACGGATAAAAAGGGAGAAGAAAGATGATATTATACCTATCAAGTTGTCATCGAAAAAATCAAAGTCTTCAAGATAAACCGGGCTCCCACCCTAGATGGAATTTCACCTGAAAAATGGAATTCACACATGTTGTAATGATTTTGTGTTCGCTCGATGAATTTGAAAATAAAATAAAAAATAACAGAGTCGCTACTAATCTTTTTTTGACTAGGTGCGATTGACCATCTATTAAAATATATCCTTTTAATAAAATCTTAAAATTAATTAAAATTTATTAAAAAGATAAGTTTAGGGTCTGCGTAATAGTTTGAGTTCGGGAGTCAATTACGTGTGAGGAATGATTAGCACCCCCACAGTGCCCGTTTAAAACGGTACCAAAATTACGTGTTATCCTTTGATTTTGATAAAAAATAATCTTATTTTTGGTGTTTGAAAATTAACTTTCTTGATTATTTTTTATTTTTTATTTATTATCTTTATATTCAAATATTATTCGAGAAAAATAAATTAAAGTTTTTTTATTGAAATAATTCTTAAAATGTTTCAGTCCGTTGGTAACATCAGAAGAATTTTTTTCACCTAAAGATTTCTTAGGCATCGCTTCTCGGAATACCTTGGAATCTCATTTTTGGAGATCTGAATTTACTTTTTGTAAAAAATTATGTCATGTATGCAATGCAAATAATAACATGTTGATGCACGCATTTTATTCTCTTTTTTAGAAATTTTATTAATTGTTTTATTTTTAATTTTGAAGAAAATTTTTTTATTGTATTGAAGTTTTTCTATAAATATTCCAATACACTGGTAATATTTTAAAAATAATTTTTCACCTAGAGATTTCATAGGTATCACTACTTGGAGTACCTCTAAATTTCATCGTCGGATAAAATTTTTTTTTCTTATTTTTATTTAATTAATTAATATTATAAAACAATAAAAATTTATTTTGGTAAATTTAAACATTTTTACATGCATAAATATTAATAATAATAATTAAAATAACAAAAATAATATATAAAAAAATCTAAAAAAAGAAAAGAAATTTTTTTACCTGAACTAGATCTATCAACGGTCCGGTCAACGCAGGTTTGGACCGGTTTGATCGGTTCGGGCTAGTCTGGTCTGGGCGATTCGACAGTTCAGCGATGGTCTGGTCTAGTTTACTTGGATAGGTCGAGGGTCAAAAGGGAGAACGGGTCGTCCGATCGGTTGAGCGGATCCTAGGTTGGATTGCGGCTCGACACGCGGATCTTTAGGTCTCAAAACGACGTCGTTTTGGATGTTTATTGAAACGACGTTGTTTTGGCTATTAGTCTTCTATATAAAAGTTAAATTTTTTTTTCATTCATTTTTTCCTTTCCAGAAAAAAATATCCTTTTTTTTTCTCGGCCAAACATAGGTGGTCGCTCAACCGTGCCTCCGCCATCGTCGTCGCCGTTCGTTGGTCATCGATAGTCGTCGTTGGTGGTCGAAAAATCCCAAAACTTACCCACAATTGCCCCTTGACCTCCTAAATACCGATCTAAGCTTCCTTTGATCGGAAACGGCCTTGATAAGCGTAGATCAAGGCTCAAACTTTTTGTTTTTTTTTTCTTTTCAATTAAAACTGATTTTTTTTTGTAGTTAGCTTCTCCGACGCTAGGTTCCTTTTTATGGAGAGGATTGTGTGGTTTTTATTTTGTTTTTTTTTTTACAGAAAGAAAAATTTTTTGATTCTGAAAACATTTTTTTATTCTGGAGAACTTTTTTTTTTATTTTTTTAGTAGGTTTCCTCGGTTGTTGTTTTTTAATCAATCCCCCATTTCTCCTTGTAGGTTAGAAGCTCTATTTATAGAGCTTTCTGAACTTCAAATCTTAGATCTTCTAGATTCGAATCTCACATTTTCAACCCAAAATCCACGCTTGTCGGTTAGGCAATGTGTTAGGCAATTACCGGTGATGGTGGCCACTAGTATTTTGGACTTTGGTGATGGTGTATTTAATGCACCGGATAACGGAAGAAGAAGAAGAGGGAAAAAAAGTGACAAAAAAGAAAAAAGAAGAAAAAAAGAGAAAAAAAAACAATAATAATAATAAAAAAATAAAATAATGTTTACAGCTGCCCCTCTTTGCCTATTTTTAAGAATCAGGAATAAGGCAAAGATAAACAAACAACCATTTTGTTTGAAAAAGATGAAACATTGAGCATAAATTTTTTTTTTAAAAAGGGCTCATTTAAACAGAGGTTCAACGATATTTTTGAAAATTTAAAAGGCTCCTCTTAGCAGAGGCTCAACAACTAAAAACAAAATTATCTAAAAAAAACTCATCTCAGCAAAGGCTCAACAACTTTAAAAAATTTTAAAAAAGCTCCTCTTAGTAGAGGCTCAACAACTTTAAAATTCTCATCTTGAAAAAGGTTCCTCTAAGCAGAGACTTAACAACTTTAAAATTCTCATATTGAAAAAGCTCCTCTTAGTAGAGGCTCAACAACTTTAAAATTATTTTCTTGCAAAAGCTCTTATCAGCAGAGGCTCAATAACTTTAAAATTTTTTTCTTGAAAAAGCTCATTTCAGTAAAGGCTCAACAACTTTAAAATTCTCTTCTTGAAAAAGCTCATCTCAGCAGAGGCTCAACAATTTTAAAAATTCTTATCTTAGAAAAGCTCCTCTTAACAGAGACTCAACAACTTTAAAAATTCTCATCTTGAAAAAACTCCTCTCAGTAGAAGCTCAACAACT